AGACCCAAAGAGGGAATACATGTTTTGCTCTATGGCATAAATTCGGACAGCAAATTGCACTGTCCTCCATGGAGAATGTCCAGGATTGAGATATGCGGGGGCAAAGGAAAAAAAGCCTCAAAAACTAAGCAAGCCATTTGATATGTTAGCTGCAGTAGAGAGAAAAAGGAAGACCATATACCATAAAAGTGTGTGTAGTTAATGACTAGTATCTTGTATTGCACTTGGGAGATAAGAGATAACTGGATACTTTATCTTACATAATTTGAAAGGTTAAATGTTATTGCAGTGAATGGTTACTAACTTTGAAAAAATATCTGAAGATTCTGTTTAATGGTGATTTTTGTCATTGATTTTGTTGTGAATGCTTAGGAGGGCTTGTAGGAATGGGAAAAGTGGAGTTGGGCAAAGATAGGAAGATGGAAAAGAGCAGGGGAGGAGGACTGAAGAATTCATAACTTCAGAAGCAGAAAGATAAAAGAATTAGAAACCAAAAGTGTCAATCCAAGGTGGGAAAAAATAGGGAAAGTTCTTCCTTTTTGTTGCTTTGGTTCACTCCTGCTAATCTAGTTTTCCTGCTCTCTTCTGCTCTGGTCATCCATTTCTCCCTATCAGAAACATTTTCCTCCCAGCTATTTGACCTGGTGAAACATTGGTAATATGGTAGAATGTACGTTAATTACATATTAGAAGAAATTTGAATCTGGTGGATGGCTTCCCTGGGTAAATTTTTTAAATAGGCTGTTCCTTTAGTATGTACCCAGCTATTTTGATTATGGAACAAAAATAAACATACATATTAAAAACTCAATCAAAGCCTTTAAAGTTCTTTTACTTAGTTTTCAAGTGGAGCAAACAGAACAGATCAGTCTGACCCAGGAGACAAAGCTGTGGTCTCAAAGTGACTATTATTGTTAGAAAATTATTCCACATATGAGATTTAGAAAGATAAGTTCTTTTTCCACAGAATAGGCATAATTGAATGTTTACTTCTTTCCTTGAGTTCTTGAGGAGTAGCATACTTAGCATGCATAGTCTGAAAGCAAAGTCCTTATTTTAGGAGGTAATTTAAACTGAATTGCACACGGGAGCCTGAATGCATCAATTTAACAGAGTTAGAGAATAATATGACAGTTTTGATTTTTGCTTTCACTGAAGAGAACAGTTCAGAAGGAAACTTCAGTAAGCTTTTTAGCCTCAGTGGCATAGCATCCCAGCCACCTGACCTTGCACTTTCAGGAGCTCTTCTGTATTAGACTGACACCTTAATATTTTATTTTTTTTAAAACCTTTGACTCCCAACACATGGGAGTTTTGGCTGAAGCAGAAAATAATTTGAAATGGCTTATTTTTAGCATGGGTAAACATGGCTTACTCATTGCTGTGGCTCTCATGTAGAATATGCAATTCTAGCGATAAGTAAATATTTACTTTGCAGAAGCTATTTTTCAAAACCGTGTTCATAAGCTGTCCATTAATCACGTAGAACTCAGAAGTGGGCATAGGTCTTTGTTTCTGGAATTTCTGTTGGTCTGTGTGAAGTCACATGTTCATTATGTCTATAACTTACTTTCTACACGGTTTGAAGCACTGATTTATTTTATAAAACATGATGTGTAGTCTGTGTATCCTTGAGAATCTGTTCACCTCTCTTCCCACCATTTTAGTTCCTGAATTTGCTCCATTAGCAGCTATGGCTCGGACTGAAAGCAGGAGATCAAATTCAGGTCTTTGCTTCTGGAACTCATCCCAGATTTCAGCTACACGCACTTTGGGTATATTAATTTGTGGGCATTTTGTGAAGAACACCTTGTATGCAGGCTGTTGTGTGCTCCTGACTTTGCCTCAATCCAAGATCAAAATTTAATTTCTTTCACTTCTCAATAACTGCTGAGTATAACAATTTGAAGTCCCAATTTGGGCTCTATTGAAAGAAAGATTTCTTTATTGGCAGTTTTACAGGAGTAGTGAAAAATGTTAAGTAAAAGCCAGCATAGATAAGAGTAAGTGTGACTGAAGTGTATAACAAAAAAGTTTTGTCAACCTGTTCCTACTACTATGTTGCAAAATATGTCTTTAAAATCTTGTACAGTGCAAAATGTTTTGCCTCACACTCCTGAAGAAGGTAAATGTTTCTATCTGTGGGTATTTCTGAGGATTCAGTGGGATATAATCCACGAGTTCTGGCAGGTCATTATATATGCCTCAATGAGTAGTTGCAAAGCTTCCCATCCTGGCTGATCAAATTTAGCTTTCATTTAACAACATTTTTTGGAGAATGGTTTGATTCATCCACATTTAAGTGTGAATTAATTCAGCAGGACAGATAGATATGACTTCTCAAGGGAGATAAGGACTCTTGAGCTCCCATGTAAGACTCAGCTGTGACGATGCAACCTTCAGGACTCAGATTGGACTGTCTGAGGCCCCAGTGTGGGAAGCCAGTCAAGCCGTTTTATCCCTTTTTTTCCATCTTTGACTACCTGATGTGCAAAGCTTCTGGCACTTTTCTACTGGTGGGTTTGTCAAGTTTTTCACATGAGGCAGCAGGAGCCTGGCAGCATACAAACCTTTGAGGGCCAGTTGGGGAAAGCTCATGTGTCAGGAAAGCTGTATCCATTGATCTGTATTACTGCCCTACCAGGTCCCTGTAAGATTTTGGCACAAATCTTAAATGTAAAGTTCTGCTTATCAGAATATACACCCACTCTGCTCATCTTCTGTCATATCCTTTTTTTTTTTTCCTGTTCCATGTGCCAGTAATCATCAGTAATGTGGAAGGTGGATCATCACCTCCTATCATACATACTTAAATGAGCATCAGTGAAATAATCAACATTGACACTATCTTTTAGTTTAAGATTTAATGCCTCTGTTGAGATTCAGAACTCTCATGAATATTTCTCCAGGTGCTCTGCTTTACTTCTGGGGGAGGGTGTAGATTGTCTTAATCAGTCTTCAGAAATGTCCATACATGTATGAAAGTCTGGCATTTATGAAATGAATGGGAGTTTTGCTACAGACAGAGGAGTTGATGATCTAAGAAAGAAAAGCTGGAAGTTTAGGGAAGTAACACCATTGCAATGAATTATTTGCCTTTTTTCATAGCCATAAAAATATAATTACTTTTATATACTGGAGTATGGAGAGATGTAATAATTTCAGTTTGGAAAAGAAATAGTTTATAGTCTATACATAAAGTCAAAGCTCAAAATCTTTCCCAAACACACATTTCAATACATACTGTGTAGTCATTATCCTTTCTCTAAAAATAACTCAATCAGCAGTAGCAAATCGCGCAGGTCTTTATGTAAGGTAGCATGGATTGTAGGTTTCCAAGGTCAGGTTACCTCAAAGTCTGTTGGTTGGTAGGTCTAAACATATTAGTTTGAGCAGCTCTGAGGTTACCTTTTGAATTCACACCCAGTCTTCTATTTCTTAGGACTTCCACAACTGAGTTGATAAACTGTCTGCTTTCAAAGGTCAGAAAGTGCTAAATCTTGCCTATGAGCATGCAAGAAGGGAGAAGGTATAATATCCAGACTCCTCAGGGAAGTACTGTAACGAAGTTGACCAAGTTCCTGTGGCAGCGCAGTACTGCTGATGTTGCAGATTAGGCACAGAGGGGTTCTTCTGAGGACTTGGTATTCTAGGTAAATAGGCAGGCTCAAATTAATTAAAAGAATCAAAGTGATGACTGTGTCTCTTTTCCCAAGCTCATTATGCCTGCCTCTATTTAAACAGGACTCTGGACTGGTTTGTCTCCGCATTGAAAGTGGCAGCGTACCTCAGGATGTCATCAATGCCCAAAGTACAGGAGCTGTCTCCTTTCTGATAGCCGAGACAGGGATCAGAAAGAAGGCTTCTGCTTCCAGCCTCCTGCATGATGGTGGGGAAGCTGCCGAGTCCAATTTTGCAAAACAGTTAGAGTTTAAATTAATATGGGGGGAGGCAGGTTATGGCCTTGGTCTAGCTGGATAGCTGTGAGATGTACAGTGATATTATATAACTGAGGAGCACTCTGCCAGTGCTGATGGTGGAGAGTCAAGTCTATCACACACGCATGCATCCTTTCAGCGTAAGTGTGTTTATTTAGGCATTTGTTTAAGTTTTAAAAAGCTCTGAGCCTTTGCCAGAGATGCTGAGCTCTCAGCTTATTTCAAAACCAACAGGATGATGGCTAAACATGGAGTTGGTTCCTGATTTAATGGTTCCTGGTTTAAAAATCCCTATTTAATGACTGAATGCTCCTGCCCCATAAATGAAGGAAGGTATGAATATTTACTTTCCTGACAGAAACATTGCATCATTAATATCTGTACAGCTCTTCTGTATTAAATATTCTTGTCTTTTTATATTTAGTACAGCATAAAAGAGACTTGTGTATGTGGGAGCAGGGACTCGTCCCAGGGGCAGCAGCTGAGGAGTTCCCTGGTTGAAGGTGTGATGCAAATGCAGCAGCGCCTCTCATCCCATTGCCCTGTTTCTTCTAGATGCCTCGAAAGAGGCAATTTTGATCCTTTCAGATGTTGGTAATGATTTTAATGCTGCGTAGCCTTGGCCTGGTCTGTCAGCCCAAGTGAAGTATTCTGAACAGGAAATTCATGTTTACCTGTCATATCAAGCACAACTGAATCAGGTGTGAAGTGCTCAGATCTAAGGATAGTAAAGGGAAGCGGTGTATAGCATTATGCAGCATTTCTTAAAGTCCATCTGAAGCACTGGACACAAGATGCCACGGGTATGGCTTTATTTTATTACCATTTTTGGTTCCTGGACTCAGTGATATGCCCAGTCTTGGTGCAGTTTTTGATGGAAGTAGGAGCTGTCCTGCAGCCTTTAGATCTAGCATTTGGCAGTTATGTGTAGGCTTTTCTGTCTTGCTACTTCACCTTTTTTTTTTTTTCTTCCTTGGTAAATTGGTGAAAATTTTCTCAGCAATTTTTCATGCTGTGAAATTAAGCTCTTGAATTTTTATCTTGTTTGTTTGTTTATTGCAGCTGGTGCTCAAGATAAAATTGGCTGGGCGTTTGGCTTGGGTTTGGAGAGGCTGGCCATGATCCTGTACGATATCCCTGACATCCGACTCTTCTGGAGTGAAGATGAACGCTTCTTGAAGCAGTTTATTGTGCCTCACATTTGGCAAAAAATAAAATTCCAGGTAAAATAATATATATGATAATTTTCTGTCAGTAAGAAGTGTATGTAGCCCTAGAGAATATCACATAATTAAAATTCTGTGCCATTAACAGGTTTTAAAGCATCAGCTTTCCAGCTACCATGATTTTCTGATATACTGCAATAAAATTCAGCTTCTGATGATAACATTTTTGTGAGACAGATAATGTTGTGAGTTGCTGCTGATACCCAGTGAATATCTCTGTTCTGAATAATGCTTAAGCATCTATTTAACTTTTAAATGTATCCAGAATAGGGATCAATTGAGGCCTGTGTCTGATTTGGGTATGTTCTTGAATTGTGTCCATTATTCTGTTTCATTATAAAAATGTGTTTGATGCTAAGTGTTCAAATATTGTAATACATTCCCAATTTTTCCCATTGTTTTTACTCTGCATTCACTGAAGTCATTGAGAGTTGCGTCATCAGACTTTGGCAAAATGCTTTGTGAATGTGTCTCGCCATCTTTAATGTATCAGCTGGTTCCTCCGGGTGATAGTGGGGTTAGAGTGCAAGTTCAGCTTGTGTTTCTTCTGTAATTCCTCTCCTGGGGTGATTTTTGTAGTTGGATTGAGTGGAAATGCTACTTTCATAATCTGGTCGTTGGGGGAGTTGAGCTGACATAGCTGTGATGCTCGATCAAGTCTGAAGTACTAAAGCAGCAAAACACTTTTTGCTGCTGCCTTTTACCATTTTCCTTGCTTTATTATGTCTTTTATGTATTCCAGCTTGATTATGTCTTTTTTTAAGAACTGAAAAGGGGAATCAACAGTGATAATGTTCAGATGATATTTGAGCAGTCTCCACATCAAATCAGTAGCAGCATCCATTTTTTTAATTCACCTTTCTGGCCGTCTTCTCTAGTAGAGTCAAAAAATCAAAATGGTGTTTGGATAGGTTTGGGAGCTGTGATCGCTGGGTTTTTTTGGTTGATTTCTTTTACTTGGTGTTTCAGTTTGGGTTTTTGTAGGGTTTTGTTTTGGTTCTTTTTATGATACTGGCATTGGGGTATTCAGATTGTAATTATCACTTACAGAAAGAAGACAGATTTTTGCCACTGTTCCTGAAGTTGGGTCTGCCTGTAGGTTTTCCTTGTCTCCTGCAGAATATTTGTTGTTCTTTTCAATAAGAAGCCCTCAAGTGTCCTTATCAGCCTGTATATTTCTGATTGGCATTGCTCCCAAGGAGCACAGATTGTTTCTTGGTTTATAGATTGCAAACTGATCTCTGATGGAACTAAGATGAGATTTCTTGCTTGCTTTAAAATTGTGGATCCAAGACTCAAACTGATATTAGCAGTAGATTGGGTTTTTGGGAAAAGGTCCAGATTGTCAGAATGATACAGTCTGATGTTGAAGGTGAGCCAAAGAGAGGGCCGGGTGTCTGAGTTGCATATCAGTTTCATGTACAGCTGCAGATAAAGTCAGGTAGTCAGATGTAGAGAACCGATCTGAGGTTGACAGTGGCATAGGTTATTGTGGATAGTCTCAGAGGTAAAGACACGGTTTCTAAGAAGCTAAAAGTGAAAGAAATTTTTTATTTTTTTTTTCCTAATTGGTGCTGTTTGGTAACCTTAGCTGAGCAGGAGTCACTGTGAGCACATGGTTTTGTACTGTTTTGCTGGGTAACTGTCTGTGTCATCAATAGGAGAGTGTTGACAAGGTCTTGGTAGGTCTTTAAGCATGTCTTCTTGCTGAGTAGCGTTGGTTTCAGCTGGCATTGGTTCAACTTGTAACAGGGAGAGAAGTTCTGCAACCCAGAACTGATGAAGAGTCATGAAGCTGAGGCTTGCTGGCTGAGATACATTTTGAAGTAATAACATGAATCAGGAGGTATGATGCAATAGGTGGGGGACTTCAAGGAAGAAAAATAGTCAGTTGACACTGTGCTCTAACGTGGACCAATGGGAAAGAGTGGAGTAATATTACTGGGACATTAATGTGTTGGCAGTTGTTGTATCCCAACAAATAGGCCAATGAAAAGTATATAGATTGGGAGAATGAGGGATATAGGAGAGGGGCAGCAGAGGTGGAAAGATGGATTATTTTCAATCTTTTCTTTCTCTCTTCTAAAGAAAGGATATGGCCAATGTTTTAGAAACAAAGTTTTGCTTTGGTATCAAGCACTTCTTAGTGACCTTTTTTCCTTTTTTTCCTTGTTAATTTTTCCCCCTTTTCACACATACATACACACACCACACTTGTATGTCCCATCTTCAATTTTGGTAGAATAGGTCTTTCTAACTCTTAATTTATATTTTTTAACTGTGTCTCTGAATATAGGAGACTAGGGGCAAGCTTGTTTTTTGTTTAAAAGGAAGTGTGTATCCAACTTTCCTGTGATATCTTACACTGAGCATTTCTGAGCTCAATACTGTACATACTTCTAGTACATACTGGCATTACTTATTAAAGCGTTAATGACCCTTCAAATGAGAATACTGTGAAATAATCTTGGGTGCTACCATAAAATCTTGGGTGATGGGAGTTAATAAGCCATGGTGGGTTTTTTCTGTTCTGTGTTATTTTTCGGTTATGCTGTAAAACCAAGTCAGCAGACCTTCTGCACCTGTCTACTTTCTAAAGAGTCATAATTAATGAATCACATGGTTTATTCATATCATATTTAAAAGAAAACTTTTAGTCTGTCTTCCAGTGTTGATGTTGTAAGAAATCTCAATGGATATTAAAAAAAAAGTCAGATTTTCTGCATGCAAGGCCATGCAGTACTTTTCAGCCTGACTGAACTGAACCAAGACAGACCAGGTGTTCTCAGAGCCTTTCATTACACAAATTGAAGCCTGCAGCCTCTAAAGGCCTGGGTAAATGTCCATCCTTTATGTGCTTAACTGAGGCCTCTCAACCTTTGGATACTCTCCTCATCTTTTCTTACAATCTGAGTATTATCCACTAACATAAATATTTTTCTTTCTGTTCATTAAAATGTTCTTCAAATACATGAAGTCCACACTACATAGCAGTAGTATTTAATAGTAGCTGGGCTAAATATACTCTTGTTCAAAAATGGAACATAATTGGAGCATTTTCTTGGGACTTAAAAGTATATATTTTGTGCCTTTTAACAGCCAGAATGTGTCACAATTTTCCCTGTGCCATCAGTTGCTCAATATAGGCCTGCAGGCTTCAGCAGGTCAAAAAGCTGCTGGGAAAAGCTGACAGTGCTTGTACCGTTGTGGCCACTCAGCACAGCAGTGTTAGAGTGCTGCTCCCCACAGATCAGATTATTGCATTGATTTGGATTATCAAATCGCTCTAGCTATAATGTGACACGAGTCGAGGCAGTGTGTGGCATCAGAGGCCTTCAATCACTTGTGTAGGGCTTCTGCTCGGGCTGTGAGAGGAAAGGCTGAGGAGGGACGGGGCAGGAAAGACTAAGCACCTGCAAGGAGTAATGTAATAAAACAAATGGCTTAGATCTGATCTCGTTCGCTGTGTTACATCTGTGTTCGTCAGGGCTCTGAGCATAGTTCCATGTAATCGCCTTCCGGTTCCTGCTAAGCCAGCATTCTTACCAAAAAAACCATCTGTCCGTGGGCTGACAACTCTCAAGAAAAGGTACAAAAATGAAATGACATTTAGGGAAGGAAGGCACTCACAGTTCAGATGAAGTGCGGAGTGCCCAGAGGTGTTGATTAAGGTGAATGGGCTCTGGCAGCAGGACGGTTCCTGGAACCTCCATCATTTTGCTGCCACAGCGAGCGAGCGGCCTGTCGTGTCAGTTGACTGCTGAGGCATTCTCTCCTTGCAAAGTCACTTTCATTTGGTGCTGCTGGAGGCTGTGGCTGCTGCTGTTTTAAATAATTATTTATTTTGATTGCAGAGGAGCATTGTGGCCCGGACTGAGGTCAAGCAGAAGCATGTTTATGCTGTTCTAAGGGAAACACTGGTACAGAGGGAATCTGGATCAGATTCCTGGCTAAATTGCAGACTCTTCTGTGAGATTATGGGAGTTGTGTTCTTCTTCTTTTCTTATTTCTGCAGCATCTGCAGTACCTGCAGTAGGCCTAGAACACCTACTTTTTAACACCCCTTGCCATCATCTCCAGGTGCTGCATCTTTCTTGTATCTGCTGGTACATGCAGTCTCTCCAAACTCAGTTTCTTCATAATAACCAGTTATCTTCAATACTCAAAATAATAGACTTTCTAACCAGGATCATTCTGATGGCACCAGGATAGACAAAGCTCCTAGAGCAGCTCTGCTGGGAGACCTGAGGGGCTAGTAACCGTTAGCAGTAGAGTGAGGAGAGTTGACAAGCAGCTTGAATTGACACCGTTCACCTCACCAGCTGTAGCCAAAATGGTGTGTGTGGCCCATGCCTCGGAGACTGGCTCGGCTTTGAAAAGTGAATAGTCAAGGTTAGCAGAAATGAGAAAAAGTGTATCTTCAGAAAGATGTAGTTGTGTGGAAAGAAGTGGTTCATTATATGGGAAAGGAAATCAAAGTGGATGATGATTTCTCCTGTACAACATAGCAAAGGCTGGGCCTTGCTCACTCCCATCTGCCTTTGCTCAGTGTGCCATAAGAATCAAGCTCCTATTTTAACGACAAAGGATTTATCCAGTAGCCCAGTTTGCAGTATTTGCTACATATGTGAGCCCTCTTGTTCACACAGTTGCACAGTACAACTTTTTTACCTTACTGTGCACTTTTCAGCTTTCTGACACAGTCATCATCCCTGTGCATGTTTCCTGTGCACATACCTGATTGTTGCTGGGGGACATATAGCTTGTTCTGAAGCTTTAGAAGATGCTGAAAATAAAATGCACTGGCAGGTCCAAGGGGGAACTTTTGCAAATTAAACTATCTTAGTCTATATCCTTTATTCCATGCTTGAGAAGGAGAATATATAATGTATGAGCTAGCCATTTCAACCAGTTTGATCTTATTACATTCACTGCACAGAGTGGGTCTGTCTGATCCATCATTAGTATGCTACCCCATATAATTTATATTTATCTTC